AACCATGCTTTGATTGTGAAACAACCAGAATGTTCCAGAAGACATGGCAGAGTAATTTTGCTTCCTGATGACGCACCATCACACACTTCAAAACCAGCTAAAGACACATTAAAAGATCTTGCCTGGGAAGTATTAACCCACCCACCGTATTCACCAGATCTTGCTCCTTCAGATTACCACTTGTTCTGATAGATGGCACACACACTTTCTGAGCAGCACTTCAAAACGTACGAACAAGTGGAAAATTGGGTCTCTGAATGGTTTGCCATTCTATTGGGATGGTATCCACAAATATGAAAGATGGGGGAAATGTGTAGCTAGCAATGGACATTACTTTGAATAAAGCACTTTTGATGTTTCTCTTGAAATTATCGTGTTAGATTACAAAATCCATCATTATTAACCGGTACACCTAGTAACTCTACTTTTCTCCCCTATTTCCTCCAAGAGTCATGTGAAAGACTATATAATTCAGAAGAGATATTTTTGCAGTAAAAAAACCTCTCATATTTAAATCAATTCAAATCTCTTCCTGACATCTAAGCTGTATCTAGGACACATCTGGACATTTGAAAACATCCAAATTGGGCTTTTCCATTTTTTAGCAGAACATTTAGTAAATAAAAATACAAGGAACTTACTAATCTTTTTTTTAAAAAGGCAACAGCATTTCAGTGGGACCTCCTAGTATATCCCCATAGCACAGCCTTTATTTCTTGCACCATCTCAGACTTGTTGATGGAGGAAGCTGATATTCAAAGGGTGTGGTTTTTGAGGTTGCCACATGGCCTTGCCATGACTTAAAATATCTCTCTCTGGCAGCCAGATGCCTGGGGAAGCACCAAACACAGGATTCACTGACCTCAGAGCTGGATGCTTCAGGACTGGAGGCTCTTTCATGGCATCTCAGTTTCTGTTTCTAAATATCTGAACACTTTAAGCCTTCAACCAGGATCTTGCTCCTCTTGCCCTCTTCCCTTTAGTGAAGGGAGGGGGTAAGAATTAATTTTGGGCACAGAAAGTGAATGCTGATCTTTCATCATTCCCCTGAGAACAACTAATCTTTAACTACTTTCCAGAAGAAAGTCTCCCTTCTGTAGCCCAAATCCCTTGGAAATTGTGTGAATAAGAGCTCTGGGGAACCGATTCTGGAAGTCTACAAATAGGCCAACAGCCTCAGATATCCTCTTCAGGTTCATTTCTCCACTTATGTAGATGCATAAAATGCAACTTACTTCTAGATATTCAATGATGATGTCTTGAAAAACTAGAGAAACGGTCATTTTGAAGGAAAGGTCAAAGAACAGTATTTAGAAAGAGAAATTATTTTTGGAAAAATTATTATATATGGAAAAATGAGATAAATTGGTTTGAAAAGAGAAAAAAATAAATGTATTACAGGGAGATTTTTTTCCATCAAACATTTATGGAATACTTAGTATGTGCTAGAGACAGCTCTAGGCTCTAGATATGTAATAGTCAGTATACTAGGTAGACATGTTCTTTGGCCTCATGGACTTCCCACTCTAGTGGAAGGTACATGGCAGGGTTCCTACCCCAGTGTGTGTGTATGTCAAGAGGGATCAGAGATTTCTCTGAAGGGGTGATGTTCAAGCCAAGAACAGAAAATGGTTAGATGGACAAAGTCCCCAGTTTAGTTTGGATTCATTTTCAATGGTCCTGTTACAAAAACAGAACAAAGCAAAAGTTCATTTTAAATATTTTATTTTTTTCTATGCTCCAAATTGGCAGGGGTGGGCAAACTTTTTGACTCGAGGGCCACAATGGGTTCTTAAACTGGACCGGAGGGCCGGAACAAAAGCATGGATGGAGTGTTTGTGTGAACTAATATAAATTCAAAGTAAACATCATTACATAAAAGGGTACGGTCTTTTTTTTCAATAGTTTTATTCATTTCAAACGGGCCGAATCCAGCCCACAGGCCGTAGTTTGCCCACGGCTATTCTATGGTTATCTGTCAGAGAGAAAATTCTGATTTCAATAGAAAACAATTGGATTGCTACCTCTTTATCTACCTCTTACATAGATATTTATTTCTCATATCTCACTATATTATGATTAATTGTCTGTCATTCCCTCTAGATTGTGAATCTCTTCAGGTTAGGGATTATATCTTGTGTTTTCTGTTCTGGCACATTACAGCTCTCTGATGAGTAAACAATAAAATCAAGATAGATGAATAAAAGAAACAGATGATTTTTAAACATTTTGCATTGAGAAAAGTCT